CAGCTGTCTAGATGAAAATAGTGCTACTTATTGATCTTTTTCCAACGGCTACTGAGAGCAGTAGCTGAATTTCCAAGTTCTAATCCTGGCTTTAACATGGACTCATTCTGAGGCTGAGAGCAAGTCACTTAACTAGGATTGTCAGGTGTCCGGTTTTCGACCAGAATGCCTGGTTGAAAAGGGACCCTGGCGGCTCCAGCTGTTAAAAGTCTGGTCAGCGGCACAGTGGGGCTAAGGCAGGCTCCCTGCCTGCCGTGGCTCTGCGTGGCTCCTGGAAACAGCGGCATGTCCCCACTCTGGCTCCTTGGCATAAGGGCAGCCAGGAGGCTCCGCATGCTGCTCCTGCCCCAAGCACTGGCTCCGCAGCTCTCATTGGCCAGGAACTGCAGCCAATGGGAGCTGCAGGGGCAGCATCTGCGGATGGGGCAGCGTGCAGAGCCACCTGGCCACGTCTCTGCATAGGAGCCGGAAGAGGGATATGCATCAGCTTCCAGGAGCTGCCTGAGCCTGCACCTGACCCACTGCCCCAGCCCTGAGCCCCCTCCCGCCCTCTGAACCCCTCGATCCCAACTCGGAACACCCTCTTACATCCCAAACCCCTCATCCCCAGTCCAGAGCCCCCTCCTACACCCTGAAGCTCTCATTTCTGGCCCTACCCTGGAACCCGCACCCCGAGTCCAGAGCCCGTACCCCCTCCCAAACCCCAACCACCTGCCTCAGCCCAGAGCTCCCTACTGCACTCCAAACCCCTCATCCCTAGCCCCACCCCAGAGCCCAAATACCCAGCTGGAGCCCTCACCCTGTCCCGCATCCCAACCCACTGCCTCAGCCCAGAGCCCCCTCCCATACCCTGAATGCCTCATTTCTGGCTCCACCCCAGAGCCCGCCTCCCAGCCAGAGCCTTCACCCCCTCCTGACCCCAACTCCTTAAGCCAGCCCGGTGAAAATGAGTGAGTGAATGAAGGTTGGGAGAGCGAGCGACAGAGGGAGGGGGGGATGAAGTGAGTGAGGGGGCAGGGCCTCAGAGAAGGGGCAGGGCAGGGCAAGGGTGTTGGTTTTGTGCGAGTAGAAAGTTGGCAACCCTACACTTAACCATTCAGCATCTGTTTCTCCATTGGTTAAAAATGAGGCTACTATTTCCAACCTACTTCTCAGGGTTGTTGGGAAGATCAGTTAATGACTATCAATAATTCTGAAGATGGCAAGCATTCTATTGGTGCAAAGTATTGTCACCCTTATTATTTTATATAATGGGAGACTGTCATTGCTGAAAAAAAATCCATCTTTTCCCTGCTCTCCCCTACCCAAAATAATGTTTTCTCCCCCATCCTCCCAAATACCATCTAATAGCTTCTCTTACTCCCTTCATTATCAGTTTAATCTTCCAGCCCCTCTGCCACTCCACCTCCTCTCCCTCAGTCACATCCAGCAGAAGTAACACCTGTAGCCCTCACCACCAGCCCTGAAACTTCTCTTTTTCCTATGCCCCAGCCAGCCTCACACCAATTTAATTGCTGGTAGCCTCCCATCCGTGCCCCTGAACCAGTACCAATGTCGCCATTAGACTTCCATTCCTCCATTCTCTCACTGCCTCGCCTCCATCCTGACCAGCTACCAACACCCTTCACTTCTGTAGACCTTGGATGCTTTCGCTGCCTCTGCACCAGCAAAATGCCCTGTCGGGGCCCTAGCTGCTCTTCACACTCACCCATTTACCTTGGCTGGACTAGGCGTCCAGGCGACAATGGGGGACATCTGACTGGTTTAGCTATATTGGAAGCTGGAGCTGTTGGTACGCATTGATTCTCTTGTACTGGGCTGATGTAGGGCAGGCACGATTTGTCTCCTCTGAAGTACACCTGCCAGAAATGGGAAATGGAAAGGCCTGAGATTTTCATCTTGGCATACCCATGAAATAACAGCCAAGCCCCACCGACACGGTTTCCTTCCTACCTTTATTGAAAACAGGGAAGCGATTATTTTCCTCCTTCAAAATAAAAATAATGAGATGATTAGATGTTCTCCCACCTTTATTTGGAGGAGGGAGAACAGCTAATCATTTAATTATTGTTGTTTTAAAGGAGGAAAATAATCACGTCCCCATTTTAAATGGAGCTGCCAGGGTTCCAGCGTTACCATCTTTGCAGCCTGTCCTGGCAAGACCCTTATCTCTGGTCTCTGGTAATGTGTTTGATGCGACATTCAGAGATGTAGCCACTGCAGCTAGAGCAAAATCTCAAGACCCTAAGCAATCGCCCAGAAGCCTGAGTTGCCAGGCCAAGCACCCGAGCGGGGACAGGCTGGCTCCAAAGGCTTCTTTGTACGTCTCCCACTGTTTGTTGAGGATACAGTTCTGTCGGGCTGGGGGAGAAGCATGGAATGAGAGGAAGCAGGCCAGCTGCTCTAGAGCCGTTGTAGGTGGCTTGGTGCCCTGATTAACACTGTGCAGCAGTAGTGATGTTGTTCAACTCCTACTCTGGCATAGCCTACAATGGCACTCCCAACCAGCCAGCCTGCCTTGTAATTACCCAATGGCCCAATCTGGACCTGGACTGGACACCACAGTATTGTTCCTGATAATAAATGCTGATCTCTGACTTCCATGGGCCCAGGACATAGGCCATCGATCCAATATATAATGATGTAGAATTCCTGATTCAATAGATTAATTTAGCTACTAATAAGTAGCCTTTCGAAGTAGAACGTGAAATGCTGACTCCCACTATGACCTTTTCCTTTGTAGTATGGCTGGATGAATCCAGGCAATACGTTGCCAAATGGCACATGTCCTTTATGCTCCATTTCAGAGCTGTTATTCTAGCGACTAGCACTTTGAAGTCATGAACTTCACCTTTTACAACTGGTCTCATGGTAAATGTACATGGTACAGCTGTGTGCCTTTCCATGTACCTGTTCTTCGTGGATACGATCAGTACAAGCAATACTGCTTCCACAGCTGGGTGTGGATCAAATAACCATGCCCATGCACCTGGAACTGAGGCATACACCATTGTGCAAAAGCGATAGTGTGTAAACCACGGAGGTTTACGAGTAAAAAATTATCTGGCTGGCTGCTGCGTTAGTGTGGATGTGCCTGGTTACAGTTACAAATGCTTTAGAGGGCAATGATGTTTTAATCTTGGTATTTAGCTGCGGTATATCCTGTAGATATGTTTGCAATCACACAGAGCCAACTCTATCCCTGGTGTAATATCAATGAACCCACTGGCATTACAACAGTGCGTGACCCACATTCGGTAAAATATATATACAGTGATATACCTTATTTAAAAGGTAAATACAGTGGTGCCCTGCACTTTGAGTAGGCTTTTATACCTGTGCAATGCACTAGCTTTCAGCTTTGGTCGTTTTTTACATCCACTTTCTACAGAAGTAAATGGAGACACGGTTTGCAGGGCAAAGGAGAATCAGCCCGAAGTGACATGCAGAAAGTCACAGAGAACTTCAGTGTGCAACGAATACAGGAGCAGAAGCTTGGGAAAAACAGACACACTTAGTTTGATTACTGACAATTCCCCCTCCCCAGCCACTACACTGTCCAGATTCTGGCTAATTACAGGCGATGCTGCTTCTAGTTAAGGTTTTTACTATAAATTTCCCATGCTGGGTGTCTGCCTCAGGCCCAATGTGTTTGGAAAATTTCAGCTAAAATGGTTCAGCCATTTCTGAGAATGAGTTTAGGGAACAATACATTGTTTTGACCATGTTATAAAAATTCTTACAGCTGTTCATTGAGGCGCTGTGGTATCTCCATGCTCTGGAGTATGGACTTGAAACTTGACAGAGAGGGTCACGATGGTGTCAAGGATGCCTTTTGTCATCTCAGGAAAATCTGTCCGAGTTAAAAGGCTCTGAAAAGCTCAGGTGACATATGCTTAGTAGACACTTTTAAGGGTCTGGCAGCATGCTCCAGCCTCTCACAGCTCATACATGCAGACCTGACTGCACATGCATTATCCCCACAGCATGATTGAATATACTCCAGCCCAGAGCTGATGGCACCGAGTAGACAATTGTTCCTCTCATCTGCCAGGGGCTGCTGTGACACCAGGCACTGCAAATAAGAGCTGGCAGACTGTCTCTTCTGTGCTTTCAGGGCTCCCGCAGTTGCCACCCAGGCAGTGAGGAGAAGAAGGAATATGCTGCGTGACTGGAAGTGCGAGGAAGTGGCAATAATAGCATGTGATCATGCACTCAAGACAGTAGCGCGATGTACGTATACTAGGGGGCTGAATTAAGGTTGCACAGGCCAACTTAATTCTGGCATTTCCTAACTTGTGAGTGCTTGACTTTGCAACTTTAACTTTCTTTTCTAATGTATTTTTGGATGCAACCATTATACAAAGTGAGCACTACATGTGTGGCTAATGCTGTATTAGTCAATCAACACCACTACACTTATTACTCAAGCACCTCAAACAAAACAAACGAAAATAAAGCTTCTCCTCTATTTTTTTATGAAAGTATTTTATTTTTGCGTCTCAACAGATGAAATTCATAACCTTGTTTTCTGATAAGACAATTTAAACATACAAAGCAATTACAACAATGTGCTTTTCAGCTTTTTTAATTTTATTTAATTAACTGACAGTTTGGAAGGACACAGACAATAGGGCTTTAGCAGAACAATGTTACAATTAAAAATTGATTCCTATGAAAAACAATTACAACAGTTGTTGAAAAGATGGAGTAGAGGTTTGTTCTTTTGATTAGCACACAATGAATTAAAAAACATTAGTAAAGAAATGAGGTGGTCTGTAGCTTTCCTGCCTGTGGAAGGAGAGAGGGAACTCATCATATTAAAACAGGGTCATAGGGGAGGTGTCAATGTTATCAGATTAAAAAAAATCTCCCAGACAAGCACATCTGTCAAGTTCAGTTATGACTTTTCATTCATAATACAATAAAGACTACCTGCAACAGGGAGTGCTTCTTCTCCCCCCACTCCCGATCTTTTTTTTTTTTTGTGCAAGTAGTCTGATTCTTCTGGGTAAATAAAATGCTAAGGCTTTTTGAAGATATTGTTAAAAATAGAGATGGACCAATAGCCAAATTAATTCTGGGCAGGTACCTTTTTTTTGTCCAGACCTGAGAAGTGCAGTATATCCTCAACACCCATTCACTTCAGTTCTCACTGACTTGAGCTGAAGGTGTTCTTGAGTGGCAGAAGTGGATATATATATATATATACGCACACACACACACACACACTTGTTTTGTTCCCTTGTAGACCGCTGAAGAGGAAATTAAGGACCAGATTCTGATACTCCTACTCGTGTCAAGTAACATATTACTTCATGAATATTCCCACTGACTGTAATGAGACCTCCTGAGGAGCAAGGTGCTCCTCAATATGAATAAGGATATTGAAATGTGGCCCTTGGTTTGTGCTGATTACTTCATTGCAGAATAGGATCCAAAAGACAGAAGCTGGGGAAAAGGCAATTGTAAATGTTTGGCTCATGGCTAATTAAAACAATCTTCATGAAAAGATCAAGGTCAGTTTGGCCACAGTTCACCGTGGTGGCAAATACAGCAAAGTAAGTTGGCAAGTTAAATTTTATAGGATAAACATTGAGATCAGGGACCATGGCTCATTTGGAAACTGGGTACCTGTAGCTATTACAGCTTCGGGCGTGTATGTGGGTCTGTTTACTTTAAAAAAATTAATGGACTAGATGATCAAAACCTGTACGGCACCTCGTTTTTCAGCATTCTTGTAGGAGAAGGAGATCAGCCACAAGGAAAGCTTTCTAAGTATATTTTATAAGTAATGTTCTAAATAATATTTCTAAGTAATCAGTTCTGAGCTCTTTCTCCCTCCCTCCCCCCTTTTTGTGTGTGCAGGTGACCATGTGTGGCTTGCATTCATTTTGGCATCTGTTCTTTATAGTCAAATGTACACATAGAATTGGTGGTGAAATCTTTAGAGGGATTAATCAAGCCCTGCAAAAGAAATAAATACACAAATAAATAAATAAAAATAAAACCTAGGCATTAATAGGTCTGTATAAGTGATTAAATCATTGAATTGGGGAAAAGGAAAAGGCTGGTTAATGTGCTTCTTTGACACAAAATGTCAGGTCATACACCGCAATTTCTCTGCAAACATCATTATTCTAATTCTAAATATGGAGGAACCACTGAGTATAGAGTAGACCACTGCTACCACCCCAAGCATCATTTCTGAGAAAATTCTGTAGAGCTAGTTTTGGATTTCTGAGTATTTATCAAAGTATCTGGCTAAAGTCTTTTCTTTAATTGTGCCATGTGTAGAGACTTTTCACTCCTTAGTGTGGGACTAGTTGAACACCCTCAGCTCCCTAGGTTTTTAACCCTTGAGCTCAGCGGAAGATTATTCCCTATCAAAGGTAAATATTGTTATCCCAATTTACATAGGGAAACTGAGGCAAAGACACAGATTCAGTGTTAGTGCTTTGATGAAAACTTGGAAATATCTGTTTCCCAGACCTGGGCTTATACTATTAGGCCTCTGCTCTCTCTGACAGCTAGACCATCCCAGAGAAACACAGTGCTGATCAGATTTCCTTTAGCAAAATGCGACAGCTTGCCAAATCCACTATAGCAAAGACAGTCAGACTCCATGTGCCCCATTAAAATTAAAGCTCTTATATAAATCAAAGGGGTGTATTGGCTCTGTAAACTCTTTGCAGCCTGTTCTCTGCTCAAGAAATGAATTCCCAACAGGACATTAGAATTGATGCGTTGTGCAGACTTCAATCTAGTGTGGTAGTTTTGTAAGAGGAAATGTTGTTTGGTTTTAGTAAATAGCAACACTTTATATAATTGATGTAACCTATTAGTCTTCGTACATACAGCTAATAGCTCGTAGCAAAAGTAATAGATTAAATTTACTAGCATTGTCTTCCTATAATAAATAAGTGTGCTCTATCACTTATGCTTTTGAAAAATATAAATTGCAAAGTTATTGGAAAATAGCTCACAAAAATAGAACTTCCACTTTACAAAGTGATGAGGTAAATAAGCTCATTCAGCTGGTGATTACAGCCCTAACTAGCTAAAGGACTCCCTTAGGTGTTAATTGCTGATCCAGCTCTTGCAACCCTGAACAGGACCCCAGGTACTGAGGCAAGTGTCACATCATCTTTTATCAGAGCTTCAATTTCATTTCCTCTCTATCATCAGACTTTGTGTTTCACTAACATGTTTTCTACTAAGGGTGAAACTGGGCCCTACGAGCACAGAGACTAAAGACTCCACCTTTGTGTCAGGAGCTCCATGGAGCTTAAGGAAGAAGGAATTGAACCCCAGTCTGGAGGCATGACAGAGGGGAGCTTGTTGCCCTCTGTGGCCAATGCCACAGATCCAGGAGTCTGACCCTTGGTCAACGCACAGTGGATCCTGGAATAAGTGAGCACACATTCCTTCAATCCAGAGAATGCAAGGGATACACAGGCCCCCTTGTGCTGCCACTCCAAACATGACCCCAATATGGAAGGCTAAATGCAGGGGTTACATGGTTCAAAAGATAGTGTGAGCTCTCCACACTCAGGAGTATATAATCTTATGGGACCAGGGGTTAACAACAAATCTGCCGCATTCTACTCTCCCTTCCTCCCTATCCTCTTCAAAGACTGCGTTCACTTGAGATCTGACAAACCTTTTGGATGCATTTTGTCATTTAAACATGAAAGGCTTTCAACTCCCCCATTCCTGTCTTTCCAGCTCACATGAAAACATGTTGAATCAAGTATCTGGTAAGAGAAATAGAGGTTGATGTGAATGCAGGGGGGAAAATATCCAAGTATTTCACCCTCCCCCTACTTTTTTAAAGTTTATTTATTTAAAGGCAATTTCAGTGATTTGATAGTCGTTGAAGTCTTCTATTCATCCCTAGAAAGAGATTTTCAAAATCCCTAGAGCCTCCAGGCGCATAGAGACCACTGATTTTCAATAAAAATTGTGCTCCTAGATATATTTGGTGGTTTTGAAAAATCTCTTGCAAAACTCCTACTGCCCCAGATGGAGATAGCAGAAAACTACTTATTATGACTTGCCAATGTGTCTCATACCTCTCCTGAAGGGGTCAGCTTTATGGGGAAGAGAGGAGTTCATTCTCCATGTCCATTCAGTCCCTGTGCTGAAATTTTCAAGGAGATTGCCAGTGATTTATTGCCCAGGGTGGTGGTGATGGTGTTCTCTGACCTGTCCGCTGTAAGATCTGGATACATCAGACAAGACCAGATGATAACTTGTGATATTGGAACAGGTTATATTTCTGGAGACAACATCAGGTAGCCCAGAAAAGCAACCATAACTGCATAAAAGAATCATAAAAATTAGAGGCAAAGAGCTCTTTCAGGACATCTTGTGCATCTTTCTGAACCGCAGTGTTCTCAACTCACTGTGAGGTGGTGGGATGAATGCAGCTTGCAGACTGGCAATGGTATTCTCAGATTGAAAGGAAAAGAAAGGAAATGAAAATGAGCCAAATTCACCTCAGGTCTAATACCAGCTTTGGCCAATGTAGACACTGATGGAGGTCCCTGGCATCGACACTGCCAAGTGAGGAGACTGCAGTGGCAGAAAGCAGCCAAAACCTCTCTTCTGCTGGGGAGAAGAAAATAGCATTGGGGGCCTCAAAGATGGGTGGAGACATTGTCAGGACGACTGAGGAGAGCACTGATTCAGCACCGCCATATCACTGCTTCCATCAATGAGATTCCAGTGGGTGTTCAACCTGCTGTGATGATAACACCACACCTATCCTTCCTCAAGTTGAATCCCTCTGGGTGCAAACAGCCCTGCTGGCGTCAGTCATGTTTTTACGGCAACAAAGCAGTTAAATCTTAGTTCAGTGATCCTGCAAATAAAAGCTCCAAAGTGAGCACAAGGCTGTTCTGCATCTGACAGCACAGACTGATAAAACTCTCGGCATGTAGTTCTCCTTTCCTCTAGCTCCTTCTCCCTGTGCCAAGGGCAGATGAGACTTCTGACGGCAGGGATAGGCCAGGACTCTACCTCTGGCTCTTTCCAACAGCACTGATCATGAGAAAGACCTAAGGAGAAATCCAGGCACTATTGAAATACATGGCAAAACTTCCACTGGTTTTACCCCTGCTGAGTAGATATATGCTGAGTAAAGCTCTAACTTGTTTCTCCCCAGCAGACAATTTGATCCCACACAAGGGACTGTATTTTGGAAAACCTCTGTGAAGATAAGATTAAGTCTCTGGACTCCCTCTTCCCTCCATAAAACTCCGGAGATGGGGCTAAGATGGAAGAAAACTCCACAAGATTCACATCCCAGAGGGCATGGGGGGGGAGGGGGAGGCAGAGCTTACCCTACCTCAGAAGGAATAGTATTTGGGATCGCTTTCAAATCCCGTAGAGTCCCCCTACCTCCTGGCAATGTCTTTCCGATGGAGTCATGCTACTAGGGCTTCTCCTGGGACCCGCCTTTAAGGAGGAGATTCTTCAGCACAGAAGGCTCTACAGAAAAGGCAATATACAGTCTGTGGCTGTCTTACCTTCCCACTGTAGTCTCTATGGGGCAGGTGTGTAGGGGTCCTGCCGGTCTCTTCCCATCATGGGCTCAATTGCTTGCCCTTGACCTTACAGAGGGTAATATGTGAGGTAGGGATGGAGGGTTGAACTTTGTACATGGAAATCCCCCCTCTCCACACCTATCCTGGGGACATGACTTGTTCATCACATTTTCCCCATGCCTGGGAGTTTTAAGATGTGGCTAGCTGGGAGACAGAACTCAAAAGCAATGAAGTCCTGTGCTAATGGCTGAACTATGCCATCAGCAACAAAAGAATTTCGATATTTATCTTGCATGCAGATAAATATCCGTCACTTTGTTGTCTAACATTATGTGAACCCTGACGAGTTAGCTTACTTTAGTGAATCATGGCAGAATGCTTAAAAAAATAATAATAATAGAAACAAATGAGATGGAAAAAGCCAGTTAGGTCATACAATCCATCTCCCTGCTCTTCCATGTTCTCAAGTGTTTTATCTGATGAAGTTCCCTACTCTCCCGGGATGACAATCCCCCAGTCAGTGAACTTGAAATTAGGACATTTCCCTGATATTGGGGTTGTATTGTGCACATTAGAGATTAAAGGGTCTATTACACTTACCAGCTTGGGAGTTTTAGTCCTTTACCTCAAGCAGTACAGCCTCATACTTTTAGTTCAAAAGCTCATAGGTTCAAGCCCCCCAATAACCTATAGCGGATGATAGTGATAGGATCATAGAATGGGAAGGAACCACCTGGATCAAAGAGTCCAGTCTCCTGCTATCACAGACAGCCTCGTCAAATAATCCCATTAATAAACTTATCAAGATCCACTTTAAAATAAATTATGTTGTTCATCACCTTTTTCTTAGCCTTCATTTCGAGTTTTGACTAAGGACTTCAGGACTCAATGTGAGTAGACTACAATTTTTCTTTGCTTGCTTACATTTCATTACCTCCTGGAAGAAAGCGAACTGTTATGATGGAAGTGTAAACTTTCTTCAGTTTTCTCAATAAGTTTTACAAGTCCATGGAATGATTTATTTAGGATTGGTTATTTTGGCTATGTATGATACACACCGTAACATAAGCCCTAAGAACAAAACAAAATGAAACAAAAAATGACATCCAGGACAGTTCTCATGAGAAACAAAGTTCTTTGTCATTAGCATTAGCAATATTTTGAAACAAGCTTTCAGACAAACCCAAGTTGCCATCTGCTTCATAGATCATAAAACGGGGCTGTTTCATTTCCCATCCGTAATTATTACCATATATATTTAAAATAAAATACAACACAACTGTTTTTCTGCTTTACCTCATCACCTTTTAAAAATCACATTTCAAAAGTTAAATCACATTTAAAAAAACCCACAAGTTTAAAAAAAATCAAATGTGACTTATTTTTGCGCACACAAATGTATACATATGAACTACAGATGCTTGCAGATGGATTTCGGTATGTGTGACAATATAATAATATTTATATGCTATGAAAACCCCTCCCCAAACAATGAGACACTTGTTATCATATATACTTGCATATAAGACAGTTTTAGATTGTAAGTTCTTTTGGAGCAGGGACAGTCATTTAATATGAGCACAGTGGGTGCCCAACCTTGCTGGCCTCTACCATAATATAAATTTATTTGTTATTAAATAACCGTTTGCATTCCAAAACAATGCTTCATTATCCCATGTATAAACTGACCCCTCCCCAACAGTTAACTTGAAATTTTAGCTTAAAATTCTGGATTTATACGTGAGTATATATGGCAGCTGATTTGCTATTACCACACATAGCAATGTACAGCTTGTTAGTTTGGGTCTGTTGTGTTTATTTATTTATTGCAAATCTGAATATTCATCTCCTGCTCAGCCAGCAATGGTAACTATGAAAGCAATCTGAACAGAACGTATGCCAACGAAGTGAAAAATAAATAAAACATACATTCTGCATGTTTTTCATGCTAGCCCTCTTAGTATAGAAAACAAAGGGCCAGATGCCAATACCAGCTTTACCAATGTAAATCAGGAATGCCACCATTATAATGATTGGAGTTACTCCTGATTTCCACCAGCCTAATTGAGATAAGTCTGGCTTCAGTTCTTTTGCTTTAATACCTTTGCTCATTGGATACAGATATTTTGGCACCAGTTAGAATAAAATGTCAGTTAGCAAGTTACAAGATGAAAATCTGCTCATCTGTTTTCTATTTTGCAGATTAGGGATAAAGTTTTCCTTAAAAATAAAATAAAATAAAATAAAATAAAATAAAATGGAACATTTTTCTTGACTATTCCAGTACTTTTCTCATTCTGTTCATGCTATAAATAAAGATGTCTATTTCAGGCTGGCATTTTATCAAAGCACCTGCTTCTAGTAAAAGGGGAAAAAATCAGAATAATTCAACCTACAGATTGCTGTCGGCATGTGATTATCTCAGTAGCAAGGAGAACTGTTCAAAACATGGCTGGTTTCATTGGCAGGGAAAATTAATTCAAACCTAGTTCTTGGGCAAGGTTCACACATCGTAAGATTCTACTTTGAGCTCTAGGTCCCAAATACTCAATGAAATTCCTCCAAATCAGTACTTGGGGTCAAAGTCATGTGAAGGGCATGTGTGTGAAGAGCTAGAAGAAAGACAAATGGAGAGGAAATCACCTAAGCAACTGACTGAGATACTGCCTAAGGGATTTGGGTGCACACGTCCTATAACATTTAATGGGAGCTGGGCATCCAAACTGCTTCTATGGCTTTGAAAAATCTCACTCATTCTCAGTGACTCTCCAGCAACCAGCCCAATGATCAGTTGACCTATCACATAGTTTGTTATTCCCCATGGCGGTTATTTAACTTTTAACCCCGCACCAGCAACAATTAATCTTCTCTTAACTATTGGATGAAATAAATGGCTTTTCAGTTATTTCTTTCTTATGTCTATCTCACCACAGGCTCTCTCAGAGCGGTATGAGTGTGTGGGGGGGATTACCCTTGAATCTTGGAACGTGTATATATCAGTTTATAAAGTGCTTAGCATAGCTGGTGGCTATCCTTCCTGGGGCTCTGGGGGCTCCTGTTTTATCAATAATGTGCAATAATAAGGATGAGTATTTAGAGTGTCTCCCATAACTGGATTTCTATGTCATTTCATAACGTTGAGGGTGTGATTTCATACCTTTCTGCATGGTGATGGTATCACTTACAGATCCATGTTATGATGCAATATATGGGAAAGAAAATGTATATTTTGGGTGATGTAGTAGAGGAAATCTTTAAAGACAGCCTTAAAATGCCCCACACCTAACACACCATATTGCACCACTAACCCTCTAAGAGTTCATAATCTCCTGCCTTATTTCAAAAATGGTTTCTGAAAACGCAGCCAGCTATTGACACCTGCAAGGAGAATATAGAACAAAAATAGTCTGTTCAGGAAGGCTGGGCTGCCTGAATGGGAGGAAATTCAGTGAGTCCAGCTGAGTTGATGGGTGGGAGAATGTTGGCAGTGGATGTTGCCTGGCTGAAGAGTAAGGCCAGAACAAAAAAATATTGTAGGGTGTAATAGAGCTCTCAGGGGACCAGGTGGTCCAGTGGGTAGCACACCCATATTGCCTCTCAGCGGGAAGGCCTTTCAGTCAAGTTCCTCACCAAAGGATGGGTTTAACTTCATCTTCAGTTTGCAGAGTCCTTGCCCTCTTTGTATCAGAGGGGGAGTGAGACTGGAATGTGCTTATGCTCCCCTGCAGCAGCGGCAGTTGGTAGGGTAGCCTGGGCCCTCCCACTCCAGTGGGCTGCGATCCAGGGCCCTCTGAGAGTCAGCAGTGTCTGGCACCCTGGAGTGCCCTCAGAGTTACCCTCCCTGGGGCACTTCCTACCATCTCTCTCTTCTCACAGCTCCAAGTCCAATATCGATAACAAAAGAACAGTCAACTAAACCTTCAGCCCCCACCAAGCAGCTCTCTTCCACACAGGGATGCTTCTTAGCCACGCCTGTCTAGAAGCCCTCAGGGTAAGTCTGTCTTCTTCAGAACTCAGTTGCTCCTTTTTAAGCTTTCACTCCAGCTGGAGCAAGCGCTGCAGGTCTGGAGAGCTGGGGCTACCTGGGCTCAGTACAGTCCTTTAACCCCTTCGGGCCCAATGTGGGGTTTGTATACCGTATCACACAGGGTAGCTGGAAGTCTAGAAATGTCAGTGTACTTGGGTGCTGGTTGCCCTTCATCCTGAGCCTAGTGTCATGATGTTCTAATATCACCTTGTGACTCTTTCCTTTTGATATTGCTCCAAATTCCTTTTTAATGCAGTTTTGGGGAGTCACAGTATTCATGCATGCTACAGATTACAAGGCAGGTGCACAATGTGATCTTTGCTTGTCAAAGCAGGGGGATTTATTTGTTTGGGAGATGCAGTCTGGGTCTTACAGATTTTAGAAGTGGGATGAGTGATGAGCCTCCTTTCTTCAGTCCCTCTGATGCATTCTCCCCCTGGGACTTCTGCTGCTCTCAACTCTTCCAACTTCTTCCTTTCAAAAGAACCATGTACTGCATTGCTGCTGCTCACAGTTCTGGTGCTTTAATCACCACGGGATGCCACTTGCATTTGTACTGTCTGTAAGTCCTTACAACCAGCTCTTTGGAGGTAGACAAAAGACAAGTAAAAGCTAGGGCTAAGTGTTCAATTTGTGATCACTTTCTTTCATTGGCAGGCCCCGATCATGCACTGGGATATGCTAGGGTAGACCCCTGAGCAGCAACAACAGTCCCATTAAACTCAGTTTAATTCATCTGAAACTAAACTGGCCTGCAGTAAAGGAAGCTGCAGCCCCTCCCTGCTTTCAAAGGCAGGTGAGCAACTGGTCCAAACAAGACATAGGTTGGAAGTGCAGAAGGGGCAGAATAAATATTCCTGTGGTCACTGCTCCCGTATGTTTGCAAACAGAGCAGCGAAGTGCTTACCTGGAGTCAGAACCTGCATTCTTTGCTCACCCAGTGAAGGCAATGGCGGATGCCCGCGTATAATAGGATCAGGTTCATGGGAAGCCAAAAAACAAAATGGGGATAAAATGATTAGTGCTCTATTCTGCCATCTTTACCCATGTTAAGTGGTACCTTACTCTTTGCAAAGTCCCAATGAAATAAATGGGGCTGTCTAAAGGAGTAGTGTACTACCTAATGCGAGGGTAACAGAATCAGGCTGTGAGCAAACAGCAGTGCTGGGACAACAAAGCCCAGAATGTACTACAATCCTCTACCTCTTGCTGCGTGTAGTCCTATGAACTAAGTCTCTGCAAGGCCTGCATAGTTATGGATTTTACTACCCACATCATTTTTCATTTAAGTTGCCAATTCCAGGACCGCTCAGATACCCTAACAGCACAATAACTATTTCATTACTTCTGAGATACTTTTTCCAGGTGGGGTGGGGCTGAGGGGGGTTCAGCAGTGGGGTACTAGTTAAACTTGAAAACACAATTAATTCTAGATTAATTTCTATGAATACAGCTCCTCCTGGTTTTCCCATCGCTTTCTTTTTCCTTTTTTGTGTAATGTAAAGTAAAGAAAACAAAACAAAACAAAACAAAAAATCATCCACTTGGATTTATACCAACCACCTAAACCAGAATTCAGCAGCACTTTTGCTCAAAACGTTGATTTTATTGTCAGTTAAATCAGGTCATCACCACTACAGGGGAAATGGATTGCTAATGGATAAATGATAATTACAAGGGAAAGGCAAATGGAAATGTATCCAATTGATAATTCAGCCATCTTTTCCCCCTCATTTATTTATTTAACTATCCATATAAAGGTACAATAGTGTTTCAGTGGCTCTGCTGTTTGATCAGCAAAAACAATCTCTCCGTTATCACGTGTTTATTCAGGGGTCACTTCATTTCATTAAAATTCCATAAAATTTCAAAGGACAAAAGGATTAGTCCCCATCATATAAATCCCCAGTAATCTAATGTGGTGCATAAAAAAAGGGAACACCCCCCGTAGTCCTCAACTGCATGAAATGTAGCAATGGTTTAAACTGAGATCAGCCACTGAAAACAACAGGTTGAGATTTTCAGTGCAATCTAGGTCCTGATCCTGTATCTTGATCAGGGATCTGCCTGGACAGACTGTAGCCTAGGGGATTTAAACACCTCCCTTTATTGATAACAATAGAAGAAATGTGTCTAAATCCCATAGCTATGCTGTGAAAATCTCAGCCAAAGAACATGGGTAACATTTTCAAAAGTGGCTAAGTCCCAATTGGAGTCAGTCAATCTGATTTATGCTTCAAAGTGTCCATGTCAAATCTTCAAAATGAGACGTAGGCTCCTAAATCACATAGGCACTTTTGAACAGTTTACCCTAGATTAACTAGAATGGGTATAAAATCAAACACATTGATTATTATTCTTACTCAAAGTTATTCCAAATAATTTATAAATCATATATAATTGTTAACCAAACATTGAAATAAATTAATCTATGGCTCATATTTATTAGGACATTAAAAGGTGGTTAAACACTACCCTCTCCCAGCAAGAGTTGGAAAATACTAGTACTCTAAAATATCTTTTTTGATACCAACAGTACAATGAGTTGACATTACAGTTCCAGTTCCGAGCCCTTTTTGCATTATCTTTAGAGGAATAAAACAAACACATATATAAACATAACCAATGTTCCCTTGCCTTCTCTCCTCCACAAAAAACACAGATTACCCCCTCCTGCTCTGGGCCATTGTCCCAAAAAACCCCAAGACAATACAATTCTTAAAATGGCAGATAGAATAGCTGAAGTAATCTGTTAATGGAAATTAGCGTTTGTGTTTATATGCTATTTATAAATATCTGGGATGAGATTGACAGTGGCTAGAAGTTCACTATAATTGGCAGTACTTTGGCCTTTTGGAGGCTATCATGTTTTAAACATTTCTTTAGTCGCATAATCCTCGTATTATGCATGGATAACCCTGGTTTATTGGCATTGGAGAAGAGTTCATTCCTATCAACAGAGCTTTTGTACATTTTAATTCACTTCCTCAAATATACTAAGGTGACCATATTTCCCTAGGAGTATACAGAATGCATTACCTTCTTTCTTCCCCCCCCTCCCAGTACACATTAATATTTTAACAATGGCTTGGAAATTAAAACCAAGGGGTGACAAAAACAGATCTCTTTTTTTAAAGTATAATTTATCTCCTTTATATGTCTGCTATGCCTAGTAGGTTGAGCTCTCCTGGGTGAGAACCAGGGCTTTGTTACAGTAAACTGGTCCAGTGTGATATCACAGATATAAAAAATATTCCATTCTGTATCAAAACTAGGCACATGCCTTTTATTTATATGAAGAGAAGATCAACAGAGCAGAACATTTGTGCCCTAAGCTATGCCTCTCTGGTCTTCTACGTGAAAAGAAAAGTATCTTGTGTTGTCTCATCGGTAACTACAGAGGTCTAATTTTGGGTTTGACTATAGTTAAGGGGAGGAGTGACATCACACTTGGGTCAGTCTCGGTGGATATCTCAAAGCACAACCTCTCATTCATATTGCTTTAAAATGTACACAGTATATATGTATATTAAAAAAAGATAAGATCAATTTCTTTGTGGTGTTGAACCAACTATAAGGTATGATGCAAGGCTTTAACAAATGAGATCTATAGATACAAATTTCACTGTAGAGTATGTTTTAGACAAATGTGTCTTTTTAAATATGTAAATCCTACACTGTAGGTTTTTTTCCCCTTTCTTTTTTGTAGTGGTAGAAAATGTTGAACAACTGTCCATGAACATGAGCCAACAGTTCATTACTGAGATCCCCAGAATGCCAATATTTGCAATGCAAACAATTAGTACCATTTACCAACTATTTGAAAGGCCCTGACACACATGCCTCAAGGTTAGGAGGCTCTACTGTACAACCCCAAATAGTCTTTCCATTTCCACATAACCATTTGACACAGTGACAGCTGCATTAAGCTGCCTCTGCCTAGCAATTCCACATGCCAGGCTTGTTTAATTGGTTATAATGCCACAGAAAAAGCACTGCTAGCAGTATACCATCAAATCATTTTCATATTGAACCTCCGTGGTCCAGCAACCTCTCCTTCAACTACAGCACCATTGTTTTTGCGGGGGACATACTCAAGGTCAATGCTGGTTTTGTGCTTGCCTTTCCCTCGGCTCCACACAAAAAGAAGTAGGAAACAAAATAAAACAACTCCAAGGAATGTGAAACAGCCCATGGCTGTGGACACCAGTATTGTCTTAAGGTCCAGAGAGAAGGTGTTCACATTGGTTCCATTGGAACTGGTGTCATTGGAGTCTGTCATATACATAGGGGTCCTATTGGCGTAAAGGAAACGGTCTGAAGTGAATCCTTTTACTGTAAGGGAGGCTGTGTACGTGTCATTCCCAGCTGCGTTACTTGCAATACAAACATAGATCCCAGTGTCTTGATCTTGAGCAAATCGGATCTCCAGCATGCCATCTCCCAGCACCGTGGCTCTTCCATTTGATTTAGTTGTGATCAGCCTCCGTCGCGGCGTCACCCAGGAGATGGTAGGTTGAGGATCCCCATCGGCATTGCATGTCAGCTGCACAGTCTGTCCTTCCTCCACTACCAGGTACTGCAGTTTCTTGTCCCGTATCTTGGGTTTCTTGCAGGTGAAGTAAAAGGAAAGGGCGGTGCTGTGAAAGTCTTTGAACAGCTTCTCTCTGACGCTGTCTGGGCCGGCACACATGGGCTGCTGGCTACCAAACTGTAAGGTGGGCTGCCTTTGTAATAGCCAAAGGAGGCGGCAATCACAAGCCAGGGGGTTGTTGTTAATGCAGAGGATCTCAAGAGTTTTGGGGGAATGGAATACATTCTCTTCTAGCGTTTCTAACAGGTTCTGGGACACATTAAGTACACGCAAGAACCGGAGCCCTTGGAAAGCATGTGGTTCAATGGTACGTAACTGGGCCCCCACCATGTGCAGTTCCTGCAGACGCACCAAGTCTGCAAACATGCCTGCCTCAATGGTGCTTATGGGGTTGAAGGAGAGGTTTAGGTGTGTCAGGTAAACCAGGTGTTTAAGAGCAGAATAAGGTATTGCAGACAGGTTGGTGTTGGTGACTGAGAGAGAAGTGAGGTTGAGACCATACAGGCTATTGGCAGGCATCATGTCCAGTAAAGGCCAATAGTTGATCTCCAGGTCTTTTAGGCGAAACAATCTCTTAAAGGCATTCACAGGCAAAAGGTTAATGTTGAGATGTCTCAGATGCAGACTGATGAGGTTGTGAAGGTGGGAAAGGGCGTCTGTTGGTACAGCTGTTAGGTTGCATTTCTCCAGGGTGAGCTGCTCCAGGCTAAGCAGTCCGCTGAAGGCCCTATGGGATATATAAACCAAATCATTGTCCCCAACCTCAAGGGACTTCAGGTTATGCAAATCCTGAAACATGTAGTCCAGCAAAATGACAATCTTGTTTTCACTTATATCAAGCTTTGTTAAGTTTGACAACCCTGTGAAAACCCCTAGCGGGACTAGCTTCAGACGGTTTCCTTTCAGTCTCAGAGAGCGCAAGTTGAAAAGATTGTTAAAGGCTCCAGGCTCTACATTGGCAACAATATTGTCGCTGAGGTCTATCTCCTCGAGCAGCGGGTAGGATGTGAATTCCTCAGGGTTGACACTCTTCAGGCGGTTCTTGCTTAGATCCAGGATTTTGGTTTCGATGGGGATACCCTCAGGGATGGAGATCAGGCGCCTCCTGTGACAGCTAACAGACTTGTTCTGTGCTGAGCACTCACAGCGGGCTGGGCAGCCTATGGTGGACCCCATGAAAACGAGCAGCACAGCCAGACTTAGGAATGGCTGCCAGCATGATATGGCCGTGTGAAGCATGACTCCACCGATGTTGTCTACTCCTCAGTCACGAGCCTGGAGGAACAGGGAAGAAAAGGGGGAGAAGTTTAGTTAGTAACTAAATACTGTTTTAACCAGATTTCTGGCATCCATTTCAGAGCAGGCTCATAGATTTCCATTCAAAACCACAACAAAAGCCATAGCAAATGGAGACAAAAAGAAAACGTATTTTCATTACAAGTCAAGGGAGATGTCTAAGAATCTGTTCATTTGGCATTCTGCCCCCAGATTTCAGATACATCATGCAGCAGTTTTTCCTACTGGATGCAGTGACTGGGGTATTGTTTTTCCCATTTGAGTCTCTGCATGACAGTGCTGTGCTAAATCAGAGACAAACACACACTCTATGCTAACAGGTCTAGCAATAAAGTGAATCACACTTACAAAATGTGTACGGCATTGGGACTCAGTGACGTGATATTAAAACTTTTGTCTTTCCTGTTTCAATATTTTAACTGTGAACCTTAAGTTGCATTCACTTCATTTTGTATAGGAAAGAGAGTTTCCTAGCAAGAGAAGGATTCCTATTAGCATGTATTGTATACATTATAGTGATATACAGATAGAGATTATTGATATACACACACTATATATATATATGGATGATGGAACTGGTGCTTTTTTTTTTACACACACACACCCACCCACCCATCCACACACCCCTACCTCCCTCTAAGGCATTTAGGGAGGGATAGCTCAGTGGTTTGAGCATTAGCCTGCTAAACCCAGCGTTATGAGTTCAATCCTTGAGGGGACCATTTAGGGATCTGGGGCAAAAATCTATCAGGGACCAGTACTTGGTCCTGCTGTGAAGGCAGGGGACTGAACTCAATGACCTTTCAAGGCCCCTTCCAGTTCTCTTAGATAGGTATATCTCCATATTGAAAAAAAACGGGTGCATGATAGATAGATAAATAATAGAACTGGTGACTCTCTGATTAGCACTTCAATTAAGAACAAGTCAATTCTTGCTGAAACTTTGCTTTAGCTTCACAAAGGGGTTTTATTTATTTCTAGGCCCCATTGAGATGACAGCTATTGCAAAGGGCATTGTTTACAGAGTACCTTTTTTATTCTTAAATATGTAAGTTAATTGTGATGGGGAGAGAGGAGCAGTAGAAAAAGAAAGAACGAAAGAATTGTTTTGTTTTAAATAACACACATTCCAGATAGGGACAATAGATTGCTTGGCAGCCATAGTTTCTATTATATTTATTTACTCCCACCTGCAGATTAAAATTGAGGGTATCTTAACAAAGGATGCCTTCTATTACGTTTAATTACTATCCCCTGAAGCTGCGTTTTAAAGGGGCAGCTACCAAAAAGGCGGGTCCTTCTATCAGGGTGGCTACTCAACAGAGCATCTCTATGACTTGATTCCATACAAAAAATAAGAACATTGGTGTTCTTAATTCTCATGAAAGTGAGTGACTAATACTTTCCAGAGCTAGGCACAGGGACAGTGCACGCTTCCTCTCATAACTCTGCGAGTGCATCTTAGTCTTGACCTGCATGGCCTCCCTATTCCACTCCTGTGCTTCTCCTAGGCAGAGACTGATAACGTACGGCAAATTGTGTGGTGGTTTTGTGATGTTGCCTGGGGACTAGGATGAAGACCATTCTTTGTTACACTACCTATAAAAGTACATTTCAACCTTGTCCTGGAAGGACAAACTGCTGAGATTCATTTAGTTTCCTCCTTCAGTAGAAGTCTTGTGAGTAAAGATTATTGGTTATGTCCAACTGTGACAAAGGTTTTCCAAGATAAACTTCACTTCATTAGGAACTAAGTTAAGACTGAAAATCTATCGGCCTCTGTGATTTGGGTCTTTCCACTGAATTCTGATCAAAGGGGCTTTCAGCCACTCTGATCATTACATTTTTAACTCCGTCTGTGAGGTTAGCACTTTTGTACAGATACTTCTGGTGTGCAGGGAATTCATTTCCCATCTTATTCACCTAATGTAGGAAGCATAAAGTAAATAGGTTCAGTGGAAGACAAGAACCCCTGGAGTGCTTATTTTAGTTGGCAAAAGTATGAAATGTTTCTCTGCAGACATCCATGCTACCTGGAAACTAAAACTTCTAAGCAGCATAGAAACTGCGGTTGAGGAGAATAAAAAGTGATAAAAGGATTTCTTCCCCATGGCTGAATCAAGAAAGGGAAGTGGTGTTTGTAATCACTTTTGTGTGTGTGCATGCATGTGCATTGGACAATTTGTGTGCATTTGAGATTCAGAGCTGAGGTTTAAGGTGGTGTAAATTATATGTTAGGAAGTACAGGAGTAGGGGAGTCTAAAGGAGTAAAATTGATTTGATTCACACACCTACAGCCCAGAAGAAAATGTGAATAAAAGCTGAGAGGATAGAATAGAGGGGATACTTCTATCTGCCCAGACATTTCAATCCCATTCATCACATCTTCTCCCTCCTGTTAGTTATTTTTGTGGAGACTCCCCTCCCTTCCAGCTCCTGTGTGCATGCAAATGACACCATTTTAGGCCTTGCCTTCATTAGGAAAAAAAAGTGTGCTCTTACCTCATGTAATCTAACACATGGATAACTAACAGGAGGAAAATCCTAAGGAAGATGAGGCAGTTTGTAGTTTTCACTTGTGTGTTAGTGGATTCCAGTAGCTCCCCCTTAGCATTTACCTCAACCTGTTAACATGTGAGGGCACTACAATTTCTCATCTTCACTAGGATTTTATCTCGCATTGAGTACTATGAGTTAGGCAACATGAGGTAAGAAGACACCCTTTTCCTTAGTATAAATGCACACTTAAAGTTTGTCTTGATTAGGATTTAAAGGTGTGTTTTCAGCTAACATCCTAAGCAGGTTTGTCCCTAGGGTTCAGTTTGATCAGCTAGCATGTGTTAGAAGCATACACCGCCTTGCCTACATTAGACAGTGGGTACGTCTACACTTACCGGAGGGTCCGGTGGCAGGCAATCGATGTTCTGGGATCGATTTATCGCGTCTGGTTTAGACGCGATAAATCGATCCCGGAAGTGCTCTCCGTCGACGCCGGTACTCCAGCTCGGCGAGAGGAGTACGTGGCATCGACGGGGGAGCCTCCCTGCCGCGTCTGGACCCGCAGTAAGTTCGGACTAAGGTAATTCGAATTCAGCTCCGTTATTAACATAGCTGAATTTGCGTACCTTAGTCCGAAGTGGGAGGTTAGTGAGGACCAGGTCAGTGTGTTAAATAGTAATAATTTGTGTAATAGTAATAATATCTGTTAACACTAACAGTTCTCTCTCTCTTCTCTTTAGGCTTTGATATTATGTCCACTGCTGTGGGGTCTGGGTTCCTGCTCACCATTCTTGTGAAATGTGAAAAGGTTATAGAATCATAGAAATGAAGGGCTTGAAAGAATCTTGAGAAGTAATCAGGCCCAGCCCCGTGCACTGAGGCAGAACCAAGTAAACCTAGACCATAATCTAGTTGTTATAATCTAATAAAGAGAAATGCAAAACAAACAAACAGTGTGAACCACAGGAAGGAGTAACAGAAACAGAAGGTTGTTTTTTGTAATTACTAGTAAGCAGCGCATGAATGAATCATACGGGCAGTCCTGAATGTATTAAAGCAACAGTTACAGAAATTTCAGTTTATCATCCAATCACCCCACATCCACTGAAGTTTTCTTTGACTGTATGAATTAATATTAGGCATTCAATAAGTTCTCTTCCGCAAAATGACTCTCCTGCAGCTGACTATACATTTAATGATGGCTCATTTCTCTTTACACTTCTGTGATGTTTATTTTATTAAAGACTTTGCACTTAGCTGACAAAGAACTCAGCTTTCAGATATAGTTACCTAACAGGGCATCAACATTGCTGAACTGAATACTGTACTGAAATCGGTACTTATTTGTCTGCCTGATTGCCAATGTAATCATCCAAATGCCAGATCTGGATCATCCATATCTGAATTTTGGTCTCCCATGTTTTTTGTGTGTTTTTTTAAATTACAGAATGACACATTTCAGGATATTATTCCTTACTGAAGAGTACAAATTAACAAACTTCCTCTTCTTTCATTTCTTGTTCTCTAACTGTGCCTTTTCAATCCATTGTTAAGAATCAGGTTACCGTTGGCCCCTATCCTGTTTCAACATATGACCTTACTAGGGTTCAGATGACCGATTAACAATTAACAAAGCTTGTTTTAAGTCATTAGTTAATAGTTCTGTTTGATCTCACCCAAAACACTTGAGACCTCTTTTAGCTGGTATTTATTCCAGACCTTTGAAATGCAAATCACTTGTTCAAAATCCTGCAGCTTTGACTCTCAATTCTGACTACATGCAAGTGTTTGACCAGAGTGTGAGTATACCTGTATTCCTTAAGCCTTTAGAGTGAAAATCAACCCAGTGCAGAAAGTTTGCCCAAAATCCTACGTACCACTTAACAAACTGTGCAAGATTGTTTGGGACTTGCACAGACCCTCTATACTGCAGTGAATCTCACCTTTAAATAGGAATAATTTATCTAGCCTCGATGCCTAATAGCTACCGTGCTGCTGCTCATACGCCTGTTTGATCTGGCTCTATTCCTTGTCCAGTCTGACTCTTCTGGAGTGACTCATTACGCAGTGTCAACATCTACCCAGAGCCAGTAAAAGACTAAAGACCAAATTCAGCCAGTGGCCAAGCATGCTTGTACCCAAAGCCATAAGTACTTGGTAGTGTTGAACCCACAGCCAAACAGGCAAATCAGGGATAACTGTTATAGGCAGAGCTGGCAGTGAGGCCTATAGTTAAGGTCACCTAACACTTGCTGTTGTAAGTCCCTGTTTTCAGTTGTTTATATGTTTGCTAAACTAACCATCTGGGATGATATTTTCTGTGCTGGGTGTCTGTCTCAGGCTGAATATTTTTGGATCATTTCAACTAAAATAGATCAGCCATTTCTGAGAAGATGATCAGGGAAAAATACATGGTTTTGCCCATGTTAAAAAGATTCTAACTGTTTTGTAGAGAAGCTGTAGCACCTCCATTCTTTGGA